CATGGAGGGCATCTCGGCAGTCTGGCCTACAACAGATTCAGGGTTTAGGGTTCAGGGAACAGGATTTAAACCCTTGAAATCCTGAAAACCCCCACACCCCAAAACGCCGAAGCCTCAAATCCAAGGCTAGACTCTGGACAACCTAAACCCTAACCCTACATCCCTAACCCTACAACTCCCTAAATCCTAGCCCAGGCTCTAAACAACCTACACCCTAAATCCTAAACTAAATCCTAAACCCCAAACCCAAACCACAAACCCAAAACTCAAACCCTAAACCCCAAACCCTAAACTCTAAACCCCAAACCCTAAACTAAACACTCTCAGACCCCTAACTCGAAGTCGCTTCTTTTTTTACAGAGGCTCTTTGTCCGTGCGTTGTGGCAGGGGTTTGGGTGCCTTGACGAATAAATTAGGGTTTTCGGAGTGTGTGTCATGCGACATCATGTGGGGACGAGAAGAGGAAATTCTTACTTATTGCCCCCTAAACCCTAAACCCTCAACCCTAAACCCTCAACAATAATCCTTACTAAACCCTAAACCCTACACCCTAAACCCTAAAAGCTTATCCGGATCCTGTTGCCTTTGCCGATCAGGCCCTCCTCACCCCCCGAACCTATGAAAAAAAAAACATGTCTCGCCTGGAGAGTCCGGGCACAACCGCTGGAACCCCTAAACCCGAAACCCTCCTAACCCTAAACTCCCCTAATCCCTAAACCCTAATCCCTAAACCCTAAACCCCAGTCCCTAAACCCTAATCCCTAAACCCTGATCCCTAATCCTTCATCCCTCAACCCTAAACCCCAATCCCGAAACCCTAATCCCTAATCCCTAAACCCTAATCCCTAATCCTTCATCCCTCAACCCTAAACCCTCCCAACCCTGCAGAAAAACGCCATCTGAGGCCGCCACGGTGTCAACCTCGAGGAAGCAAGGCTCTTGGGCTTCGGTGTTCTGAAAACACAAAACAAGACACGACGTGATGTTCGTGACTGCACGCTTTAGGCTTGGGGCGTTTAAGGACTTAGGGTTTAGGGGTTAGGGTTTAGGGTCTAGGGCCTTTGGGGTTTAGGGGTGTATACGGCTTATGAGACCTTTATGAATCTCCGTCTGGAAGACCGATGCTGGGCTTATAAGGACTCGACAAAGCTATTCGTGAACACGATCATTCCGGTAAGCCAACTACGAGGAAAGTGTAAAATGTCCCAAAAGCCTAGCTTAAACCCTTAGCCCAAAAAGCATGAGCTCTGGAGGCTGCTGCCAGTCTGCCAGCCATAGGGTCTTAGGGTTTAGGGTGGACCCTCATTCACGGTCTGCATTACTCTATCCCTTGAACTCGATGAAGCCCTAGGATCCCTATAAAGCCCTAGGATCCCTATAAAGCCCTAGGATCCCTTATAAAGCCATCGCATACCCGAGTAAGGGGTCTACAGTGCACTATCCTAAAACGCAAGTCCAGCAAAGCCTCGTCCTTGTCGGTCGCGAACTGCTGCCTGCCCATAGAACCAGACCCCTTAACTGCAGATATTATCTTAGAAGCCGGCTATAGGGTTTTCGAAGGGTTTTCAGCGGCATACTATACGGTGTAGGATGAATCTGAACCCTGATTAATTAAACGCCCTTTCATGGATCCCGAATTTTCACCGTCATCTCGACAGGTGGCATATTCATGAGGGATCTACACTTTGCAGGGTCAGACCCCTCCACAGCCTAAGGAAGACCGCCACCATAAACCCCAAACCTTAAACCTAAACCCCTAAACCCTAAAGCCGTAAACCCCTAAACCCTATACTCTAAACTCCAAACCCTAGATTGGATCCAGAAAAACTGTCAGCGGCGCTCTCGGCAGCTTAGAGTCTCCGGCTTAGGGTTTAGGGTTTAGGGTGACAGACTCTACGGCAAAACAGCACCCGAGAACACTGAAGCATTCCACAAACTGCTAGTGGCGAACCATGTCCAATAGCCGTTCGCATGGAGCCCTTCTCCACCTCAGCCTTCAAAGTTCTCGTTTG